TCCAGTTGATTTATACTGACTTGTAGGGGCCTTCACCTGTTGCTTCAAATGGTTATAAGTATTATGTTAGTTTTGTCGATGCATGCACACGACATACATGGTTATATTTGCTTCATGATAAATCCCAAGAAGTTCATGCTTTTAAATTATTTCAGCAACTTGTATCTACGCAGTTTGACTCCAAGATACTAGTTATGCAGAGTGATTGGGGAGGTGAATTTCGAAGTCTCTCTCATGTTCTTCTAACAGCTGGCATTGTGCATCGTGTAACTTGTCCACATACATCTAAGCAAAACAGAGTTGTCGAAAGGAAGCATAGGCACATTATTGAGCTTGCATTAGTGTTACTTGCTCAAGCTTCTATGCCTATTAAATTTTGGGCATATGCTGCAATAATGGCAGTTCATCTCATCAACAGATTGCCAATAAAAAGTGTTGCAAGGGCTATCTATATTTGAATCGTTATTTCATAAGAAGCCTGACTATAATTTTTTGAAGGCCTTTGGTTGTAGGTGTTTTCCACATCTCAGACCATATAATCTCCATAAACTTGAATTTCGTTCACAACATGTACATTTCTTGGTATTAGTCCCCAACATAAAGGTTTTTTGTGTCTTGGGTTGAATGGACGAGTGTATGTATCCAGACATGTGAAGTTTGATGAGTGACAATTTCCATTTGCAGCCGAATCTAGTAACAATCATTATAGTTCTTCTGGTCAGACCAGTCAACCTCTTGATGTTGTGGTGGATGTACATCGATTACATACTGAAGCTGCTGGGGTGTCAGGAAGCCAGCATGCTTCTGTGCAAGAGCATGGGAGTTATATAGCTGATTCTGCTGATTCTTCGAATGCTCTTGAGGGCAAAAATGAGTCTATGTGTCCAAGTGAAACTAATGGTGATGTGTTATCCCAGGAGGAGACTGTTGCACTTAATGATTCTGTTCAAGGTTCAAATGTCAACCATCATCCTATGCTCACTTGCAGCTAATGTGGTATTTACAAGCCCAAGGTATACACTATTATTCCTTCCAATATTCATGATGCCTTGATGTCATCTAAGTGGGCAGCTGCAGTTCATGTTGTGTATTTTGCCTTGATTCAGAATCAAACTTGGAGTCTGGTTGAGCTACCACGTGATAAAAGTGTTGTGGGTTGTAAATGGTTATTAAAGCTTAAAAGGAATCCAGATTGTTCTTTCCATCGATATAAAGCTCGCCTAGTAGTTAAGGGTTTTTTCGCAAGTTCCTGGCCATGATTTTGTTGCTACATTTAGTCTAGTTGTTAAATTTGCATCTGTTTATGTTGTTCTAGCAGTTGCAGTTGTTAAGGGATTGTCACTAAGAAAAATAGATGTCAATAATGCTTTTTTGAATGGTGATCTGGTTGAAGATGTTTATATGCAACAACCCCCATGTTTTGAACAGATTGGTTCCAATGAGGCTCCTTTAGTGTGCAAGCTGCAAAAAGCTTTGTATGGTCTTCGCCAGGCTCCACGAAACTGTAATGAAAAGCTCAAGAACAGTCTACTTGAGTTAGGCTTTGTAGTGTCAAGTGCTTATACTTCTCTATTTGTGCGAGTTGTGAATGATTCATGCACTTATATCTTAGTATACGTTGATGATATAATAATTACAAGAAATTTGAATGAAGATATTGATGTTGTTGTTCATATACTGCACAAGAAATTCTCTTTAAAAGATCTTGGAGCACTTTCATTCTTCCTGGGTATTGAGGTTAAGAGGATAGGTGCTGGGTTAGCCCTTAGTCAGAAAAAGTATATTCTCGAATTACTAGGAAAAACATACATGCTTCAAGCAAATCCAACTTGTACACCTATGGTAGCTGCCCTGAAAGGTCCAGGAAAAAAAAGTGCATTATTATCTAATGCACGTGAATATCGAAGCATTGTTGGTGCTTTGCTATATGTTTGTCATACTAGACCTGATATTGTTTTTTCAGTCAATAAGGTGGCACAGTTCATGCAAGCACCATGTGAAGAACACTTGGTCGCTGTTAAGCACATCTTACGCTACCTGGCTGGTACGTTGGATTATGGCTTAGTCTTATTGGCTGAGGATACTAAGTTATATGTATGAGCGTTTTCAGATGCTGATTGGGTAGGTGATGTTGGAGATAGACGATCGATGACTGGATATGGGGTGTTTCTTGGAAACAGTTTAGTTACATGGGCGTTAAAGAAGCAACAATCGATGTCACGATCAACAATAGAAGTTGAATATCGTAGCATTGGAGAAGCTGTTGCAGAGGTAACTTGGGTTGACGCCTTATTGAGTGATCTAGGGTTGCATTCACTAGATAATCCTATTACTTGGTGTGATAATACAAGTGTGGTAGCAATGAGTGCTAATCCAGTACATCATGCAAAGTCAAAGCATGTTGATCTTGACATTCATTTTGTTAGGGAGAAGGTTGCAGCTGGTAAACTAAGGGTGAGTTATTTACCTGCTGGTTTTCAGTTTGCAGATGTTTTTACTAAGCCTTTGGCTAAGGCATCATTTCAAGTATTTCGAGACAAGGTTCATGTTCAACCATGTTGAATCAAAAGAAGAAGAAGAAGAAAGACGGGAGAATGTTAGCAAATAAAGATTGAGTGTAAATAAAGTTAGAGTGGCAACTGAATTGTTGAGGATTGCGTGAGGTTGTTGAGTGTTGCATGAGTGTGTGTGAACGTTAACCTTTCTGTTATAAGGTTGTTATGAGTCTGTTAGATAATGAGCTGTATAAAAAGGGCATTAAGTCTTCAGTGAAATGTGTGGAATTAAATGAACTCCTTTCCTGTAAATTCCTCTAGTGTTTAACCTAGATAGTAATTCATCAATATTTTTTAAGGAAATTGTTCATACAGACTTCAACAAAAATCCTTCAATGGTTTATCTTACTCTACTCATCTCATTCCGTGTGTACACATAAGTAACAAGTTTCATTCTTCTATTTTAATTCTTTTTAATTATTTTGATTACTTCGATTATATATTATTATTATTATTATTATCATCATCATCTCATATTAAACATTTTTTCTAACAAATATTCGATACACTAACCTGCTAGGACCAGTCTAACTCGATCATCGTACTACAGAATGATCATCAGCAGATAACCAGGCAACTAGGAACCACGACCCTTCAAAAAACTGTATCCAATACCACACCACCGCAAAAGTCTACAGTAACCCACCCTTGGACGATACAAAAAACAACACTTGCACAGCAAGTGCACTCTAAAACTGAAGACCAGATACCCCATCTGTGAGGAGAAATATCAAGCCACAAACACAGGCTCGATTATAAGCAAATGCACCTCAAAACCAGAGGAGAGGTCGAGATTTCGCTATCCTAGATAACGAAGGCATGATAATATGAATCCAGAAAAAGCTGCCAACATTGATGCCACTAGAACAGAAATTCCAGAACAACACCAAAACACCATTATAACAGAAAACAGTGAACAACCTAACTTCAGAAGTCCCTTTAGAGACCAGATAACTATCATAGCACATAATCCAGCCTGCATAAACGTTCCAGCTAATCTTTTATTTGCTAAGTGCTAACACTTACGATATTATTGTGGCGAACAAATTCATTGATGGAAGCGATTGAAGAAGGCCATAAGCTTTTTGCCCAAAATCCCATCCTCAAAACAGCGAAGTCGAAAATTTGATCTGCAGTGAAGTTTTTGTTGTTGAAGATATTAGGAGTATTATCCGACAACACAATAAGTGAAATGATGTCTCTCGGTATTATAACATGAATATTCCAGCATGACCACCATCTCGCCCAAACAGTCCAAGAAAATTGACATTGACAGAATAAGTGGTTAGGGGTTTTGATGCCTGAATTACATAACACGCATAAAGAGGACTCGGACGCCCTCACTCCATGCTTCGCAAGTTCATCAAGTGTTAAAATGTTGGGGCTTGTCGAGTAATGTCTATCTTTTTAATTCATGTTGTTGGTTTGATATAGAAAAAGAAATTGACAACGATTCATATATACATACACAATGTTGGATTTATAAATGTCTAGTGTGATCACACAAATATTATAACATTAATAATATAAACTTTTTTTATACTGAGTAAACATAAATAAAATTTCAAGAAAAATACAATCAATAAAATATATAAATATGTGTAGATAATTCAAATTTTAAATATTTATCCTTCTTCCTAAATAGATTCATCATGAACTGAACTAGGCAGGACCCAGTCTTGGTCCCTACCGATTAATTTTTAAAAAATAATAAAATATATTTTATCAGATCCCTCAATTAAAAAATTATATTTTTAAAAAATAAATAAAAATTTAATTCATTTTAATAAATTTCTAATTTCGCTCCTGAGATCTGCCACTGTATATGTGTGTGGTAAGTAATGTATTGTTTATTTGTTTAGAATTAGCTAGACAAATCAAATCAGTAAAAAAATTACACTGTTGTTTTTAATTGCAATGAGACTATAATTGTCACTGTCAAGCTCCATCTTAATGGGACATGAAAAAGAAGGTAGCAAATAAAGATATTGTCCACTTGCACAAGTTGACATAAAATGGAAACCCTCAATGTCCAACAACAAAGACTTTTTTTTCGTCCAGTTTAATTGGGTTTGATTATTTTGAATATTGCACGCCTATTTTTTTTGTGTGAGTCTCGTAATAAAGACTTTTTACATACATAAAGGCTTAAATTTAAAACCTTATTTAAACGATACTAATCTTGTTGTTCCAACCACGGAGACTTTAATCCTTCATCATATTCAAAATTTACAAAAGCAAATTATCCTATACCAAAAAAGAAGTCTTTATCTAAACAGAAAGAAGAACAAAACGAGAGAATTTTAAACTTCATTTCATTCTTAAAATATGATATAATTATATTTATCTCCCTATCATAGATTTAAATTATAGTTGTGATCGTGTTTATCACGATTTTGAATAATATTTTTCACTGCATCTTCCAATAACAGACCAATTTAAATCCATGCTCCAATATCTATAACTGAAAAAATGTTAACTAATGGAAGTAATTTAAAGAACTTTCGGAAATGCTAAGAAGTTCCTCCAAGTAATCAATACCCAAATCTTCAAACACCACCACATTTTCCATCTTCATAGTCTCCTTCTCTTTCTTCACCTTCTTCATCGTCGTCGTCATCCCGTTTCTGGTCTTCAAGGAGTGCCTTTTCTTCATCGTTAAAACAGGCGAACACCCTTGTTCGAATCTATAGTTCATTTCTCGAAGCGACTCGTAGACTTTGTCGATCGGGAAATTGAGTATAGCCATGGAACCTCGCATTGCCAATGCAGCTTGATCATAGGCTAAAGCAGCAGCCTCGGCTGTATCAAAGGTTCCCAGCCAAACCCTAACACCATTCCTCGTTGAATCCCTTATTTCAGCTGCATATTTCCCCCATGGCCTTCTCCTCACACCTCTGTAAGAAACCTCCCTGCTAGACTCCTCTTCCTTCGTTTTCGAGCTCACTTCATGATCGTCTCCCGAACCCGCCCCGGCTTCATTTAGGAGGCCAAAGAGAAGCATCGTCTGCGAGTCGTTTTCATTGAAGGGAAGAGCTTGGTTGTTAGGGTAATTGAATGAGTTTTCTTGAGAAACACATGAAGAAGATGATTCAGGATATGGATATTGGAAATATGAAGAATCCATATTTATTTCTCTTTTGAATATGGTTATGTGATGGTCATATATATAGGCGCTAGGAATAACCGAGTGTTCCAGTGCAGTGGAATTTTTTGAAAATTTTAAATATTTATATAGTTTAAATAGTTTCTTTATATTTTATATTTTTTATTTATGACTCGATTTTATATTTTTAAAATTTTATAGTTTCGTATTTTTAATTTTTTTATATAACTTATATACTTTTGATATAAAATCACAGGTATGTATCTGTATATAGAGGAATAAAAATTTAAAAAAAAAGATAACAAGTAAAGACAAGGTCATAGATGAAAAAGTGGTAACATGCATGAATATTATTACAAAAGGGTTTTCAAACCAGCATTATTTGGTCGAGAAATGGACCCTCCAATGAGGTAGCTACACGTAAGTCAAAGGAACAAAGGTGGCCATGGCGGCCAGGTCAGACCAATTTTTTTTTTTTCAGTATCTGCGTCAGCTGGATGATCTCATGAGTAGTAGATAAAGGGGCTTTTGCCCCACTTGTTAGTAGAAGCTATCAAAGGCAAGGGCAATGGTGGATGCATGTTTAACCACTTCATCGAACTGCCTATATAGTCCAGTGTTGAAGCAATTATTGGATGCTTCTGGAAGATACAGATTGTAAATCTGAATGTTGAACGTCCGAAAAATGTCAAATCAAATTGAAAATTTTGATGACTTTAAATTGTATTCAAATTTTTTACATAATTAAATATAATTTTTTTACTTATAAGGGAGATAGACTTAGGCAGAGTGGATAGGGAAGTTCGTCCGTTCAAAACTTAAAATTATTATATATTTTAATTTTTTTATATAATTTTATTAAAAATTTTATTTTCGTCTTTTTTAGAATTTTATAAGTTCAAGTTAGCCCAATGAAATTTTATATGTTCAAGTTCACCATCCATAACATAAAATCTTGTATCTGTCCCTACTTATTTTAGACTTTTTATGTATTTTTTATATGTTTTATAATATAAATTCTTCAAATTCATTAAGTTATTTAATTATAAAAATAAACATTGTTATTTTTAAAATATTCGACTTTGAGCAGTTAGATACTATCTTATAATATTTTATATTATTTCTTTTATAAAAAACTTTCCTTTGTGGATTATCCTCTTCTACGTGGTTTCAAAGGTATCACAATTAAAGGGAAAAATCTTACCTCCTACAGCCTTAATATACGACTAAGGAAAGATGTTACCGATTTTGTTATTTTTTTAACAAAACTAGTAAAAAATTATCGGAAACATTATTATTTCTATCAGTTTTGTTATTATTGGGCGTTTTATCGATTTTGTTAACATATCCGGTAAAGTGCTACTGATTTTGTGATTTTTTCTATTGGTTTTTTATTATTGAATATTTTACCGGAAATGTTAAAAAACATTAATGTTTGTGGTAGAAATAAAAATATTTCCGATAATTTTTTACCGATTTTATTAAAAAATAAAAAAAACAAATAACACATTTCCTTAACCGTATATTAAAAATTCCGCCCGGTAAAATTTCCACAATTGGAAAGTTCTCAAGAAATAATACACATTGTTGAAATGCTGAATATTTCATACTTTCTTTCCAAAAAAGCAAGTAATTTAATAAGATTTTTTTTTTTTACTTTTTTATTATTTAAAATCTTTTGCACCATTATAGTTGCACGAGTGGGAGATTGACTTAGACAGTCATACAAAACTAAAAAAGCGGTCTTAAAAGAAAGTTGTTCTTCGGTCAAATTAATTTCCATTCAACATTTTGCTAGCCTTTTGGCTTGATGATAACATTATCGAAAAGGTTTTCACGAAACGAATTTTAAAAAGGATCTTGAGGATGTGTTTGATAAAATATTTTCATTTTTATTAGAGACTTTAATTTTTTTTAAAAGTTATTTATTTTAATAAATGCATTGTAGAATGTTGGTGTAGTTTTGTGGAACGATGCCTTAGGGAAGGTAAATGAAAAAAACATAAGCAGACCTAGACTGGTGTGAAGTTCTTTAGATGTGATCAAAATGTGTTCAATTTGTGTCTATGTTTGTATATATAGAGTGCTGACATCTTTGTTGATCGTAAATGTTTGATAATGTTTAACTGAAGTTTTTTGTATGGATGAATGATGAAAGCCTAAGTTCAAAAAGGGCACCAATGATAAGGATGAAATGGTTATATGTTGCTCGAATGGTATTTGTGATGGAATTTAAGTATGGGTTTCAATGCTTTAGGAAAATAGGTGAATTTTAGGTTAAATTGATGCTTCAATGTTTAGTTGTGATGTTATGATCCATGGTATAGGTTGCTTGTGTTGACGTATGACGTGGCTATGTACAGTGGCGGATCTAAAACTATTTTTTTAAAGTGGACACACATATGTTAACAACATAATTTTTTTAATGAGATGAGTATAAATAAAATTTTAGAGCGGGCATTGTCTGTAAAATAATTAACTAATCGATGAAAGCTCAGATTTCAGGGTGAGCACAAAAATATTTAGGGTGGGCACTATCAATAAAATAAGTAACTAATCGAATGTCCATCCTGACCAAACCATGGCTCCGCCATTGGCTACACATTGGAGCTGAGGTCATCATCTGTTAGGTTGTTAGCAACAGACAATTTTAAATTAGTTATTTTGTTAGCACTGCTATTTCAGCACTTTCTCGTGTAAAAGCCTTCGATAAAAGGGTTGTCTTCTTTTGTTTAATAAAAACGTTTAATATTATATGGTATTAGGAAGCTAGGTTAAGCTTCAATACTAAACGCACATTGAATCTTTTCTTCTTATTTTAAGTACACCAGTTACATTGCTTTATAGCAGCTAATAGAAGCTCAACAATAAGTCTAGAAGCTTTACAACAACCTCAACTAACTGCTAACAGTTCCAACTCCTTAACTGCTTAGTTATTCCAATATTCCTTCTACTTTCTCCTCATACTTCAACAAGGCAAGACACACATCTTGGTTCTGAACACTTCAAATGCGACTTTGGTCAGTGGCTTAGTGAGACCATCTGCCACCTGATAGTTGACTGGACATAGATGACACGTAAAGCTTTGGCATCAACCTTTTCTCTAATAAAGTGAACATCCAAGTCCACGTACTTAGGCTGAGCATGATAAATCGGATTCATGCTTATGTCAATGTCATTCGTATTGTTACACCATATGACTGGTTCTTCACGTTGCTTCACACCCAGACTAACTAGTAGTGCGTTAATCCAGGTTACCTCTGTTGTCGTGTCTGCAACACTACGATATTCTGCTTCCATGGTCGATCTTGAAACAATCTTCTGTTTCTTCGAACTCCAGACTACAGGGCACTTCCTAAGAAACACAGTATGGCCAGAAATCGACCTGCGATCATTTGTGTCCCCTCCCCAGTCAGCATCAGCAAAGGCAATAACCTTCAGTCCTGCTTCATCAGCCAAGAACGTGAGACCATAATCCAAGATACCAGCCAAATACCGGAGTATATGCTTAATTGCTGCCATATGAGACTCACAAGGTGCATGCATGTGTTGAGCAGCTTTATTCACACTAAACGCTATATCAGGACGAGTGTGGCACACATACAGAAGTGATCTAGCCAGACTTCTATACTCACGAGCATCAGTGAGTAACGATCCTCCTTCAAGAAACAACTTCGATGACCAGATCATCGAAGTAGCAGCTGGATTAGCATTCAATATATCTGCCCTTTCCAGTACCTCAAGAACATACTTCTTTTGTGAAAGGACTAGCTTGCCACTGTTTCTTTTAACCTCAACACCAAGGAAGAAATTCAACTCACCTAAGTCTTTAAGTGAAAAATCTCCTTCCATGAGTTGAATCACCCTCCCAACATCATCCTTAGCTCACCAGTGATAATTATATCATCCACATAGACCAACATAAACGTATAATATCTATTCACACGCTAAGAGTGATATATATGCTACTGACTCAACAAATCCCATTCGCTCAAGACTATCCTTAAGTTTATCATGCCAGTTTCTGGGTGCCTTTCAAAGCCCATACAAGGCTTTATGTAGCTTGTAAACGAGAGGTGATCCATCAACAACAAACTCTTCAAACCCTGGAGGTTGCTGCATAAACACTTCTTCAGACAATTCTCCATTAAAAACGCATTGTTCATATCAATTTGACGCAAAGACCAATTCTTAGTGACAGCGAGTGAGAGCACAACATTTAATGTAGCAAATTTCACAACTGGGTTGAATGTGTCTTTAAAATTGTATCTAGGAACCTGTGAATACCCTTTGGCAATCAACCTTGTTTTATATATTTGAATAGAACTGTTTGGATTTTTCTTTATTTTATAGAGCCATTTGCATCCAACAATATCACGTCATTTGGGCAAGGGAACAAGGGACCAAGTTTTGTTTTCTTGTAAGGCAATTGGTAGTTCTTTATTTTAAAGATGACTATAATTAACTGCTAGCACAAAATCAATACCATCATTGATTTTTGGGCATTTTGGTTCAATCGGTTTGAATGTTCGGGCTTGGTTGATTTGAGATCGTATAAACTTTAATTATTCGATACAAGTGAAAAAAATCAAGATAACTGAAACTACGCATAGAAATCATGCAAGTTAGGAAGACATAAGATTAGTAATTGTATAATGCTTGGGAAACGATCAAGACACTCGAGTTACTCTAGTATTATGGCATATGTCTTCAGTGTTATGTTATGATATCCATATATATATATATTGATCATGTACGTATCTAACGCACGTAAATTTCAGATCGTACCAGTACGCTTCCGACTCACGTAAATTCTAGATCATACCCTATGCTCGAATAAGTCCAAGATATGAGCTTATGATGCATGTAAATTTTGAACCTTACCCCGACCACTCGAGTATCTGAGATAGACTTAGGGCTATAAGTTTCGATGCAAGTAAATTTCGATTCTTACCCCGAAGTTATCACGTTCCACATAGGCTAGGGTATTGTCCAATATGCACGTAAAT